TATTTTTTCATAAATTTTTTATTTTTTAGATACATCTAAGTAAGGTACATCTAAAAAAAATATTTAAAATTTTAAAAATATTCACTAAAAAAAAAACACGAAAGCCACTTTTTGTGACGGTAGAAAATGCCGTCTCAAAAAAGCAAAGTATTTGCGATGGCACCATTTGCCATTTCAAAAAAGCAGAGCATTTGCGACGGCACTATTTGCCGTCTCAAAAAATGAGAGTATTTGCGACGGCAAAAAATACCATCGCAAATATTCTCATTTTTTGAGACGGCAAATAGTGCCGTTGCAAATGCTCTGCTTTTTTGAGACGGCAAATGGTGCCGTCGCAAATACTTTGCTTTTTTGAGACGGCATGCCGTCACAAAAAGTGACTTTTTGAGACGGCAAGTGTGCCGTCGCAAATAGTTCCGTCTCATATACCCAGTTTTCTTGTAGTGAAACAAGTAGAGAATGAGTTGTGTGCCTATATGACTTGCGTGTCTGTATGCTGATATGTATGAGCATCTTTGCTTATGCCATTTGCTGATGAGATTTGACAATAAGGGCCAGTGGTTATTCTTTTCTGAGCTCTTTAAATGCTGCTTTGGGATCTATATGGTTAAGCAAAACTCACTTGAGAATGAGTCGTTAATAGCTTTTAAATTTTTATGCCTTCTTTGACTAGAAAATTCCATATTTTTCTATTGAATTTTAATCCTTTTGGTATGTTCACAGACATTCATTGTAAAACCTTATTACCTTAAATGGGAAAAGCATGAAGTGTTGGATAATATGAAGAAGACTGCAGCTCAGGTATGTAATACCCCATGTCTAAGATAGTCCTGGTTTCCCTATTTTTTCTCTTAGAAGGAACTTCGTGATCACTGAAATTAGAGGTAACGGGAAGGAAAGTAAATCAAATAAGAAGATAAGGGACGAGAGGTAGTGGTTCCATGATTCAGCGGGTAAAGGAGATCACTACGAAGAATAAAAGGCATCTCCCAAGTGGTAGCATTTGGGAATGATCCATATCAATTAGTATGAAATCCTACAGCAAGAAGGAAGGAACGCATGATAGGGAATGTAGTAGAAGAGAAATGTTCTTTGAAAGTGGCCCACCGTCCTCCATTTGGGAACTCCTTTCTATACTTGCCCCTTGCAGGCTAGAGCCATGGAGCTGAAGGCAGAGTCTTTAGTTGCTCATGACTTGGTCCTAACCAAGCAAAGGAAATCTGAATATGGATGAAGAAGCAAGGCCTCGTTTAGATTGACTATTGGCAGATCGAGATTAAAAGCCAGTACCAACAAAGTGCTTTCATTGTGTAATACCCATGTCCAAGATAGTTTTGGTGTGCTTGCTCTTTTCCTTAATAAAAAATGATATACCAATAATCAAGGCGGCATACCCCCTGATACTGGCCAAAACCAGACAAACAGAGGCTAACAACAGGGACAAGGAAAAAAGAACGTAACAGATCATGACACAAGACAAAGATCCAGCAGAAACATAGAAAAATCTGGACACCAAACACTAGCTGGGATCGTCCTGGCCTGGTCTTTGTGACCCCTCATTGTGGCTAACAACCAGGGCTTGAGGGTTGTTCTCAACATCTTTGACTCCATTGGACTTCAACCTTATATTTCTAGTGACATCCTTTTGAATTGAATCTCTGTCCTAATCGCTGTTGCAGAACATTCTGCAATTTGTTGCACCCATATTCAGTGGAGGAGGCACATGGGGCCCAGGAGGGGCAAACTTTTTATGTATTTCCCTGTTTTGTGTAGGTTAGGGAGGCAAGGGCAGCAGCTGAGAAAGCTCAGCAGTTGTTACAAAATGTGGCCAATAGGAAAAAGAACAAGCAACTAGAAACTGGTGGACTGGTAATTGCAAAAGCAGTTTATGGAAGTCAAAACGCTTTGAAGAAAAAAGATGAAGTGGGAGAAACAAAAGATGAATTAGCTTCACAAGTCATAGATGTCACTTTACCTCTAAATTTCCTGGTCAATGATTCGGGCAACTTAAGGTACTTCTCTTTCATATTTGAAATTTTGATTATCTCCTCTGTATAGTTTATGTGCTGAGGATTTAATACAGTTCCAAATTTAGTACCATTGATAGTTTAGTGCACATATCACGGCGGTGTTCACTATTGAATTATTTTCCCTTTCTCTAACAAAATTTGACTCGTCAAAAAAAAAAATTCCAACTTTCGATTCCTCGTTAAGCTTGTTGGTTGGCCTTTGATTTTTCAATATATTCAGGATAAGTTTTTGAGTAGCTTATTTTATGCTCCATGAATACAATATATACATATTCTAGAGATCTGTTGGAAATTTCTATAATCTTCAACTTTCACTATTTTTGTGCAGCTCCATGAGGGTGTGAAGAAGTCAGGTATTATGGGCTTCTGTGATCCTTGTCCTGGAGAACCTAAGCAGTTGCATCTGGAATACACTTGTCATGGAGAGATATATGATGTACAGAAATTCCTCCTCTCTCTCTCTCTCTCTCTCTCTCTCTCTCTCTCTACAAGTGTGTGTTGATTGATGACTAACGCATGCTTGGTTGAATCTTAAACAGGTGGTGGTTGATGATTATGAAGAATTGTTAATACCCCAGGCAGCACACAAAATCTGAATTCCATACAAGATTCTGAACATAAAACTTTGCTTGCCTCGTTCAATTTTGCATGTTTCACCATGCCTCTTGAGGTATCCTTAATTAAATCATCCATTCCCCTTTTTCTCTTTTTGATAATTTGATTTTTGTGTTATATCTTGTCCTAAATTGTAGAAAAAAAAATGAAGGCATTGAGAGAACTAATTCTGTTATAATGTAATTGATTTTGAAAGCTGTGAAATAAAAATAAAACAAAGGTAATTTTTTTGTACTTATTTCTGTCACATGAAATGAAACTATATTGGGCATTCTACAATGAGGTTGTTGATTTCATTTTCATTGGCTGTGGTATGTAATCTTTATGTCAAAAGCATATACTTTGAGCTTCTGAACGAGCACAATTTGTTTGAAACAACCGATGTACAACTCTAGTTGAACATTCCATAAAAAATTCTGTTATGTAAGATATTGATCATGGTATTAAAAAAAAGGACAAAAATGTTGGTGGTAATTATGTCTAAATATGCAATGTGGCTTATATGGTTATGTGCTAAATCAGAGATCTCAGATTGGAGAATGGGAAAAGGAAAGGCTGTTGACAATTCTACTTGTGCATGGTGGTGTATGCAGGTGCAGTCTTAATCAGTGACGGAGGGAAGATTACTGGAGCTTTCAAAATGTTTAGGCTGTGTTCAGAAGGTTCTGAATTTGAACTATTTGAATGCATTCTTTTGATTCAGAACTTTAAAGATGGCCGGGGACTAATGTAACCTCTTTGCCCAACAAAGCCCTGTGCACATTAACTTGATCAAGTATAGGAAAGATTGGATTTCAGATAGGAGCAAAGGATTATATATAGGTGAAGAACACACATGGCAATCCCAAAAAAGAAATAAGGATAGCAGTATTATGGGATTATGGGTTGAATTGTTTGTTGCTGGAATTGATATATTCACATTGATATTCAATTGTCCATAGATTTCATCAATCATGCTTTTACATGATGCTTTATTGGAATAATGGGCAGTTATTTTTATTGTTTGACAGAGTAAGTGTATATCTAGACCTCAAAAGCACCCATGGAAGCATTTTTTACCATGCAAAAGATGTGGTAACTTGTTAGGTGGCTTCTGTCAATAGTTAAGCCTTCTAATGCCCCCTGTTTGGTGCAGCTTATTGAAGTTGTTTAAAAGTTTTTTTTTTTTTTTTTTCTAGAAAAATGTTCTAGATTGTTTGATGCAATTATGTTTGTAGCTTACTAGACAAAAATAATTTAAATATTGGAAAAAATTTAATTATAGAAATACGTATTGTTTAAGATTTATTTTGTTATTATCAACTTATAACTTAAGAAAAGTTATACCAATAAACATCAATAAAAATCCCAAAAAATATGGAAAATCACAAATATTTCTTAATTTGTATCAATTGCATTCTTAAATTCACACATTAATCGAATTTAATACCTTACCCTTTCATCCAAAAAATATACATGATAAATAATTGCATCACTCTTATATTTGGCATTTGAAAGACATTAGAATGAATTTATCTTCTCACCGATATGCTCATATTGGTGATGCAGTGCCAAATAAATATGCCTCTAGAAAGATCAGAAACAGTCAGAGCAGTAATTGTATCTGTAATGATTGATAATATTTGGATATGTTCATATATCTTTTTAAAGTCCTTTGGTGCTTGATGTGAGATTGATATAAACATTGTTCGCCTGTTCTTTAGACAACAATTTTAAAAAATGACTACGTTAGATAAATGTGTAAAAATTAGAGATGCAATTGATACAAATTAAAGATTATAAATAAAAATAAAATTAATTGTATAATTTAGAGATCATTGTGTAAAAATTATTAGGTGCACTTGGAGCATGCTATACTCCACTTATTTTTACTCTATTTTTTCTGCTAAGAATGTTGGGCTCATCAGCAAAATTGATGAGCTGAAAAATGGAGATGAAATCATGTTTTGTAACTCAAAATGACCAAATATCTCACCTCAAAAATCCATGAAAGAAATTATATATATGATATACAGAAATTATTGTACAGCCATCCAATAGAACTGCTTCCTAGTCTATAACAGGTGCTCCAAAACCCATTAGAAAAGATAGAACACTGTTAGGAAAAATTGAATCCTGAAATCCGTCATTACACAATTCCATGAAATTTGTAACTAATGTACCTAAAGATACAGCAAGTAGGAATAAATGATTGAGCACCAGCAGTTCAATTGAGAGAATACACGAAGAGAGGCTCGGCTAATGCAACTCTAGAATTATGAGAAAGCATATTTGATATCAATTCCACCGTTTGACGGGTTGAAGGATGCCTCAATTTCCGCTGAAGTGTTACCTCTACTCAATCCATGGATTCCAACTGTGACTGGTTTGGCCAACAGCTTAATTCCTTGCTTCCAGTATCTTTTATCTGAACACACATGTAAGATAAGAAAAAGCTCGAGAAAGTTTCATGCATTATTTCAGAAGTCTGTTGCAAATGAGGAACTTCCAATTTCCCCCCTTCTGTTAAGTAGGCGAGTTCAATAGTTTTAAAGCATAAAGATGGTATAATAAACCGTGACAAACAGCAAAAATAGATACCAATTTTCCAGTATTTCACTCTAGCACATAACTCAAGCATACCAGGTCCTGTTGAAAGCACAATGGAGTTATCAACGTCCATCACCCAATCAATCCAGAGCACAAAACCATGGCATATCCCAGGCTCTGTAAATTCAACCTAGACAAATTTCTTTGTAAGTATACATTTGATACCTGGTTCAGGTATTGCAGATCCTGGTGCAGGACCAGTTTTACACAAGCACATTCAAAAGCAGGGATAATTCAATACCTGGGCCTTCCCAAAACAAGGACTAATGGGTTCTGAGAAATCAAACTCCATGACTATAGATATCTCACTGAGCCCCTGAAATGATTTGAACTCAAATTGCATTTAATATCAAAATGTAATATCATTATATTCTCAAATAAAAAGTACTTTCCATTACACAAATTGATTACCTTATTCTCCCCACACTGCCAAACAACAAAGGGAAAACAAGGGCTCTCTTGGGACGCGGGTAAATCGCCACATGCCCCTAAGGTGACATTTACTACAGAATGATCAAAACCTTCAATTTGTGTTAAACAGCGACGACTTCTCCAAAGATCCTAGACAAAAAGTTTTAAGTAAACCTCTACAACACAATCACATACTTGGTTTGAGGTTAAAAGAGATAATAATACTGACTTACAGGAAGAGACATTGCACAAGCCTTCAGTATTCCTTTACAAGGCATTATCAGTGCATCATTAGACAGGACTGGATCAAGCATCGTCCGTTCCTTCCTTAGGTCCATTTCAAAGTGAGAAAAAACAATGTAGGTAAATTATACAGAGTGGATTGCATTTCAGTAGACCTTTTAAACAGAACATGGTTATATAAGTCCTTATCCATGTGCAGGTGCATCTACACCTCTATCTGATGCTCAGAGAATGCCTTTAAGATCATTTATGTTACGACTATGTTGAATTGAAAGGACAATCTCCCACTAATATTCAACTTAAGTTTACATAGATATGCTCCAATTATACTTCAGAAAACTTTCAAGTTAAAAAATGTGTCTATACATGCAGCCATGGAAAATAATAAGTGCCATAAAATTCAGTACTTAAAAGGCACTCACTCTCCATGTAGACCTTACAGACTAATATTGACCATCTAAGAAAATGATATATTGATTGGATAAATAGATTCATTCCACACCTATTTGAAGATAATTATAAAGAAATCTCACTTCAATCATACTTACACAAGTCACTTAGCACCCTACTATAAAAATGAAAAAATATGTATAATGTTTTACGTCTTCTTATAAACAATAAGTTATGGCCCATGCATTCATCAGTTTTTTGCACCTGCCAATGCTTCTTCATTAACATCAAAAGTATCCTCGTAAAAAATTCCACCCCTCATACTTCAAATCCAAATCTACCTAATTTAAGTAGGCATGAAACATATTCAAAACAGTTGGTAAAGAAGATCTTAAGCGTCACTGATGAAGAAATAGTCAGAATAACATCTCAATAAGTTAGCCTACGAAAATTTTGAATTAAGAATAAGAGTTGAGTAAACTTCCAACACCTTATAGTAGGACTTGAATTCATTTTCAGGCATTAATACATCCAGAATGATCAGTGCGAGTGATATTCTTACAAAACTAAGCATTTCAATCTGAGATAAAACTGAATGCAATATTTCCTAGTTCAGACACACTATTTGATGCTCAAATTAAGACATATCGTACAAATACAAATTAAAGTAGTATTATTTACCAAAGCCACAGGTTTTGCCATGGAAGCATGCTATCATTTCCATAATAAAACGGTTCACCAACCAAGAGCTCAACCTGCAGATAGAAAGTGAAATACCCAGTGTTTACATTAAATTTCATAATTGGTCTGCAGCAGCTTATAGTAGTAAAAGTTGCTCAAAACAAACAAAGAAAAGGTGGAAATTAACTATTGATAATTTGGCAATTCACAACATGTTTGACTAGAAGACAAACACTGTAACATTTTGGAGGGAAACTTCATAAAGACTAGAAGTATAAACATGAGGCTTGACATACAAGCTGAAGTGGAGGAAATGACCTTTTTCTGATGAGTATCATGTAGCTTCGTAAATACATTACTTCCAATTAAGTCTTAGGTACAAAAGAACGATGCATTAATGCATTCATATGGAGATCTACATTCTAGTTAAATTACTTCCAACCACCTTCAAATATTTGTGATTTCTAGAAGTTGATATGACCTGCTTCTTCAAATGATTTAGGATGTCCAACTAAGAGAATGAAAAAACAGTGTGTTCATTAAAGTAACATGCTTTAGCATTATCCTTAGCCTTCACTTTTTTGTTCCCTAATTCTGACTAAGAGACAACATCAGCAAATAACCAAAAAGCATCATGCTTCATATGTTAACTGATTCCTTATTCTAAGGCAACTTCCAAACACCACTTTAGAACATTATAATTACAGAAAGTAACGTAAAACACCTTCACTCATGAGGGAATGATGACTGTAACTCCTTGTTGAATGGGAAACTTATCCATTTTGGGCCAGTGGAATAGAAAATTGTCCCTTCACAATCAAGCTGAAGTACCCACCTGAAAAAGAAACTGGGATATTGGAATAACCATCCCTCAAGAAATTTGTGACAGAAAATAGTAATTACGGTACCAACATATATACCATGAAGCAACAGCATGAACTGTACCATCATTAGTTGCCTTTATGTGCAACTTGGCTTTGCCTTGACTTTCTGGCCTTTTCCAAAAGTCAAATTCAAAAATTTTGAAAGGTTCTGACAGCTGGATGAATCCTAAACTGAGTATGAATAGAAAATAAACCTCGATTTTCTTAGTAAGTTTTTCAAAAGTAAATAATTTCTTACAAGTTTTATTTCATCTTCTATTGCATCACAATGCATGGCGATCTGTTACGATTTGACACATAAAATTGTCTCCTTTTCTGTTGGAACAAGATGAATTTCATCTAACGCTTTTGCTTCATTATTGTATAAATCATGCAGCTGTCACAAATATTTGCTTTCAACCAACTGTGAAGAAAAATTGAGAGGGAGACAAATTATTTTAATGTCAGCACTAAGTGATTACAGAAATCCTTTGTCAACATTACGGTGATAATGAAGTTTAAATGCTAGAAGGAGTAGTAAAACAAATAATATAAGGCATCATAAGATGGAAAAACAAAAGCAGCATACAATTCGAGAAGAATAGTGAAAATAAGAAGAAGGAATATGCAAGGATACTCTGTGTCTGTGAGAGTCCAACTTTCAGTTAAATGGCAATATGAAATTTTACATCAGAAACATGTAAACCTACGATTTTTGCAGAGACTTTATGTTAAGGCAAGGGGGAGGGTATGAACTGGACCAGAAGACCATTCTCTGTGTTCATCATAAATGTTTAGTTTTTTATTTTTATTTTTTTACTTAATATTTTATTTGGTGGTGGTGGGGAACGATTGATTCTGACCAGTTATAGTTTGAGCTGCCTGGAAACCTGCTTGGATTAAAAAACTTACAAGCTACCTGATGATTCTAGAGAACAACTCTGTTGTTCTGAA